CTGAGTGTCCTACATCTTCCAGAGGGAAAACGCCAGCTCCGCTGGATTTACACGGATTTTTTTCCCTCCCCTTTCCCTCTTCCCACGCAGCGAATTCCCAACCCCGGCTGCTCCCAGCGCCGCTCGCAGCCCGGCGGGGAGTGGGAGGAGGAAGAGGATGCTCGGAGGATTTGGGAAAATCCGGAGCATTTCCAGCCATGCTCCAGCTGGCGCGGCGGCTCCGGAGCTGTGAGTATTCCCGAGAAATCCTGGGAAAAAGGAAGGAGGGAATTCCTCACTGGTGGTCGTTTGGAGGGGGATGCTTTGGGATCCCGAGGTTTTTTGGGACCAGTCACAAACAAAGCTTGGAGTTTGCGTTTCCCTTCCAAAACTGGGTGGAGAAAGATGATTTTTTCCCTTTTTTGTGAAAAAAGAAGGGAATTTCCCGTACTTCCACACCCCCCTCTCCCAAATCCCGTATTTTCAGCTTTTCCCCTCCCAGCATCCCCAATCCCGTTTTTCCAGCGGTTTTCCCGGAGCAGGCCCGGCAGGGATGGGGTTGCTGTGACCTCCCCCAGGCGCGATCTGCCCCGAGCTCCTCCCGTTCCCTCGGAGGCCGAAAAAAAGAGGGAAAGGAGCTCTGGAAACCCAACCCGAGGGTTTGGAAAAGCCTTTCTGTGTCTGACGGGTGCAGGAGAGGAGCTGCTGGATGAGGGGAGGGATTCGGGATCCTGCTGGGAGCTGGGGAAGGGTGACCCTTTGCAGGTGGGTCCTTGCTATTAACTTAAATTTAATAAATTAAATTGAATTAAATTTAATTTAATTATATGAAATTAAATTAAAAATCCTGAGGTAAGCTGTGACGTGAGCGAACCTCACCTTGCTCTGCTGATTTTCTGTTCAGGATTTAAAAAATAAAAATAATAAAAGAAAATAAAAGTAAAAATAAAAATAAAAATAATAAAAATATAAAAATAATAACAATTAAAATAAAATAAAAATAAAAATAAAATAAAAATATAATAAAAATTAAAATATAATAAAAGTAAAAATAAAAATAAAAATAAAAATAAAAATAAAAATAAAAATATAAATATATAAAAAATAAAAATATAATAAAAATAAAAATATCATAAAAGTAAAAATATAATAAAAATATAATAAAAATATAATAAAAATATAATAAAAATATAATAACAGTAAAAATAAAAATAAAAATAAAAATAAAAATAAAATAAAAATAAAATAAAAATATAAAAATAATAAAAATAAAAATAAAAATAAAATAAAATAAAATTAAAAATAAAAGGTTGATTTGGGCTCTTTCCTCTCTTTCAAAATAAATAACGAAGCAGCTTTTGTCCCTGTCCCGGCGCTGTGACACCCCTGTCATCTCCTGCTGGGGAATATTTCCTTCCACAACCCCTCTCCCTCCCATCAGCAGCTGCAGGAAGTCGCAGCTGGCAGGAGGAGGCTGAAAAAGATCCCGAGGGAGCGGGATGGGGGAAGGGATGAGGCGGGGGGAGGCTCCCAGCCGCTCCCGTTATCCCGAAGGATGCTCGGGATCGCGGGGGCACAAAACGAGCTGCGATCGCCGCTGCTTTTCCTCGGCTCGGCGCGATGAAATCTCCTCCAATTCCCACGGTTTTCCCTCTTTTTGCCGGTTTTTTTCCAGGCGGAGGCAGGGAAGCGGCGGGGTTTTGTTGTTGCTGTTCTTTTCCGGGTGGTTGTTACTATGGCGAGGTCAGGAATGCCCGGCTGACAATTCCAAGCCTGATCCTTTCATTCCCAGCTGCCGGGCTTGGAGAGAAGGCACCGGGAGCGGGCTGATCCCAGCCCCTTTTCCCTCGGGATATGGGGGGGAGGATGGATCCTCTCCCCGAAATCTCCTGGGTGGGTTCCTGTGTCCCACGGAGGGTCTGCTCCTGCTGGCAGATGGAATCTTTGGGATGTTGCTGGTGGGGATGGGATCTTTGGGATGCTGCTGGTGGGGATGGGATCTTTGGGATGTTCCTGGTAGGGATGGGATTTTTGGGATGTTCCTGGTAGGGATGGGATTTTTGGAATGTTCTTGGTGGGGATGGGATTTTTGGGATGTTCTTGGTGGGGATGGGATTTTTGGGATGTTCCTGGTAGGGATGGGATTTTTGGAATGTTCTTGGTGGGGATGGGATTTTTGGGATGTTCTTGGTGGGGATGGGATCTTTGGGATGTTCCTGGTAGGGATGGGATTTTTGGGATGTTCCTGGTAGGGATGGGCTTTTTGGAATGTTCTTGGTGGGGATGGGATTTTTGGGATGTTCTTGGTGGGGATGGGATTTTTGGAATGTTGTTGGTTGGGATGGTATTTTTGGGATGTTCTTGGTGGGGATGGGATTTTTGGGATGCTCCTGGTGGGGATGGGATTTTTGGGGCTGTGAGGATCATCCTGGGTCTGTCCCATTCCCAAATGGGAGGAGCTTTGGATTCCAGCTCGCTCATGTGCTGGCCTTTGGAATTTCGAGCCTGGAGCAGCAAAACTTCCAAATCCTGGAAGAGAAGAGAGATGGGAAAGGAGCTGCCGAGCTCTGACATCTCCCCTTGTTCATCCCGTGAATCCCTTGGAATTTCACCTGCCTGGCTCTGGCAAATCCCAAATTATTGCAGGTCCATGAATTCCACGAATCCTCCAAATCGAGGGATGGGTTTTCCTTGGAGGGAATATCCAGGAGAGGTCCTGCTGTACCCCTGGAGCCCTGACCCCTCTCCCCTGCCCATCCGCGCTCCAAATCCACTTGGAAAAGACCCTGGATCAAAATCAAGGAATTTTATCCTGCAGGGATAAGGACTGGAGCGGGCTCGGCCCCATCTCCGCTGATAGAAAAGCAATTTCCCTTCCCTCGGATTTCAAATGTCAATTAGTGCGGGCTGATGAAGCGCTAATTCCCTGAGCCCGGGAGCTGCTGTCGCTTCCCGGTGAAATCCAGGTGATTTTTGGAATCCAGGAATTCAGCGTGTGAGCCTGACCTTGATTCCATCCACGGGAGGGAAGAGGAGCAGATTCTTTGTGTGCCACGGCAGCGGAATTCAGGCAGAGCTTTGCATTCCAGCCGAATTCCCAGGTTTTTTTGCTCCGTTGTTCCCACGGAGAATCCATCCTCATCCCTCTCCAATCGCTCCCTGCCTGCTGGGATGTTGAAAATGAATTTTTAGGCCGTTTTAGGCAATTATTCCTGAGCTTTGGGCGGAGGAATTGCCCGGCCCAGCCCAGGTTCTGCTGCTCGTGTCTCATCCCAGCACTTCAGATTTGAAGGAATAGAGGTCAGGAATGCCTGGATGCGAATCCATCGAGCTCCTGGAAACAGGAGCTGGCTCTGCTTCGCGAATCAACCAGTCCAGGCTGGATTTGTCCGTGAAAATTCACCTGGAAAGGGAATAAATGGTTCGTGGGAGCAGAATCCCGGGATCCTGCAAATCCCGGAGGTGTTCCGGGGATGCTGCTCAGCGCTGGGCGAGTGCTCGCCCCTTTTTCCTTGGATTCTGGGAGGGTGGGAAGCGTGGCTTGATGTGCTGCTGCTGCTTTTCACCGTGGCTTTGTGTTCCTTTGTCCTGAGGCCCCTGTGGAGCCGGGAATTTCTGGGAATTGCACCGGGAATGGACCCAGGGCAGGTCCTGGCCCAGGCAGGATTTATCAGCTTATTGATTAACCCCGGTTTATTTATTAAAATAAATTTATTTTCTTTATTAAATGACATTAAATAATATTTATTATTCATTTATTTATTCTTCCTCGTGACATAAATGTTGTTTAGTGCCCTCCTGGAAATGGATTTGGGAAGATAAATCTGAACAAACAGCCTTGCTCAGATTAGTCGGATTTTACGGCTGCTTGGAGTTGGATGGGAAGAGATTTCCTACTTTTGTCCCTCTCCCCGTCCTCCCGCGCTAATTAAGCTCATCTGCATGGCGCCTAATGACGTGTGGGGAGATGGAGCAAAGGAATGGGGAGCTGGGGGCTCACATTCCTCAGGAATGAGCAGGATCAGGAGGAGGAATCCAGTGGATCAGAGAAGGAGAAGTTCCCCAGCAGGCAGGAGAGCAGACTCCAGCTGTGGATGTCACCTGGAGCAGCTCCGACCTTCTCGCCTGGATTTATTTTCCCTTTTTTTTTTTTTTAATTTATTTTCCCATCTCTTTTTGTTTTGTTTTATTTTTAGGCTCGGTCTCTGCCTGAGCTGCTGAGGCGGCTCTGGAGCCGCAGGATTGATGAAGAGGCGCTGAGAGGTACCAGGGGTGATGCTCGGGGGGTGGCAGAGGTGACACAGGGGACAGGTGGCACTGCCAGGACAACTCCGCTCCTGACAGGGCGAGGTTTGCACTCTGGGAATATCCCTAAATCCAGGGAAGACATTTTGGGGCTAGAACATGTCTGGGAAAGGGTTTGGAGAATCCTGAGGGAGCTGGGAAGGGTTTGGAGAATCCTGAGTGAGCTGGGAAGGGTTTGGAGAATCCTGAGGGAGCTGGGAAGGGTTTGGAGAATCCTGAGGGAGCTGGGAAGGGTTTGGAGAATCCTGAGGGAGCTGGGAAGGGT